TTTTGTGTTTGTTTAACTCTTTCAAATGTCTTGCCATGTATGCTCTGTCCCCTGTGTCACATGCGGAGCAGCCAGGTCTGCAGAGTGTAAAGTGAAGTCGAAGTCGGTGATGCCGATTCTTGGTCCTGAATCAGCCTAATTGGCGTCTCTACCACACACCGGACCCATTCAGACAACACCAAATCCTCTACTTCACTTTGGCCTCGTCTAAAGGACCCAAATTGCCGACTGGTCTGAGTTGTGAAACTGTAACCATTTTCCATCCACTATTTTGGCCATCTTGGTAACAAAACTGGTTGCTGCAGAGTTGATCCGGTGTTATCTGTGTAAAATTTACAACGAAGAAGGAAGAGAGTATCAGATAAACCCAGCAGTGGCCAGTTTTCTTACATGGCATAGACAAGGCCTCATGCTCTGTAGACCCGGCCACACCAACACCATGTAGTGTTAGCCCAGAATGAGTTCTCTTCATCTCTTGTTTTTCCCCCCCTGCCAACATCTCTTGCTGGTCTTTTGTGGACAATGTGTATATCGGTGGGGGGGCAGTTCACTAATAAGCCCTTAATGATCTCATCTCTCTTGCAAGAAATAAGTAAATATTTTGTTTTGCTTAGTGGTCAGGAGTGGAGATTATTATTTGTTTGAAACGGATAGTGAAGAGGAGGAAGAGGAAGAACTGAAAAAGGAAGATGAAGAACCTCCGAGAAGGTCTGCTTTCCAGGTAATTCTGGGGTTGGGAAAACCATGCCCTTTGCTGGTTGAAGGGCTTTTCTTTCCGACAGACCTTGAATGCAGGCCTAGACTTCTTCTGCCATGTTCACATGTGTTATAGCTTCCAGAAGCTTCTAATTTCCACCTGAAATCATCCATCCCTCATTAAACTGTAACACTGCTTGCCCTCAGCTTCGGTGTAATTCCTGCCATTCAAGAACACTGTTCCCACCAGGTGTTTGCTCCCGTGCATCAAAAACCCTTCTGATGCTATAAACCAAAAATAAAGCTTCCCTGGGTGAACTTTATTTTTCTGTTACAAGTAGAAGGTGAAGAAGACTTCTCTGGCATTGCTCTGGATTGCTTGAGCAGACTTCCCATTTTGAGACGTGAAATAGTTGATCATAAAAATAAAGCACTTGCTTTGTTTTGAAACCAATGGCCACTTCCATGTTACCTCAGATTTTGCAAATCCATTTCATTTGTGTTGTCAAAGGTTTGAGACTGTACTGCAGTCATGAAAACAGCCAGCACAGTCCTGATTTTTTCATCTTAGCTGCCTTTCCTTTTCAGAATGTGCCACCTCATTCTTGGTGACATAGCTCACCAGCCTAATACGGTGTACCCAGTGATTGTCTAAGCGATGCTTGTTAGCGATGAGGACTTGTCAGTAGAGTTACACATGGGGTGAAAGCTTGACATATATTTCTTTTACCAAAGAGTCACTTGTGAGGACTGTTCTTTCCCGTTCATTACAATCCAAGACATATGGAGCGATACCCATCAAGCCGCATGATGTGTCCATGAAAAGGTCATTGTCATTCTGCTGACCGGGTCTCCTCAAGCTGCAGGGTTACATCCACCCCTGTATTCCCAACGACATTGAAGAACTAAATTATTTATGGAGCCACCTTGCTCTGATGCTTCCTCACTGGCCCCATCGCTACTTGAGTTGTGTCTCTTAAAGGTGGTGTCTGTGCGTGTGGCTGGCTCGTCAAATACCGATGACCTGACGTGTGTATCTTTATTCTCATGAGTTTCCTTATAACCATCACTCATTCAGCCAAGAAGAGAACATTTCTCACCGTGTTTATGGATTACATGCAATGGCTGACTATTTTCCTATTCCGAACCGACAAGCAAAGCACATTTGTTCCAGCTTCAGTGATGGGGCACGTTTTAAGCTCGCTGATGTAACTGTAGAGACAAATTCATACTGACGTCATATGTAAAATTGTTAGTCTTTGATGTTTTTCTACTAATCACTCTCGCTTTGTCCTTCTTTGTAGAGAGCTATTGGGAAGTTTGCGTCGGCCATTTTAGCCTTGCCAAAGTCTGTCATTAAACTTCCCAAAACTATTCTTCAGTATTTAATCAGAGCTGCAAAGGTATTTGATGTTTCACTGACGTGTGGTGTGTGACCCTCCGCTCTGTAGAAATTTAGACAAGCAGATCCCTGTCGCCTCCATCTGCATTTTCCCTGCTCTATAGGTCGTACAACGGAGGAAGTATAAGAACTTAAAATATTAGGGAAACATTTCCAAGGAGAGTTTTGAGAAGCCAAATTTCTTACTATTTCATTCTTGTTCTTCAGTTGACACAAGAGCCTATCGAGACATAGAGAGAGAAAATGCAGATACGTATCTACTCTGTCCTTCTTGTAGTTTGGCCTACGTCACATCTCATTTGAAAAGGGTCACATCTGGTTGCATGCGTCAGTCATGATGTGTAAAATGTGTGATAATCGTTCTCAGAAAGCTGGTAAAATTATGACCAAGGTAATAGAAGACTCATTTTTCTCCACCTTCTTGTTGGCTTCCTTTTCAAGTCTCCATCTACCCTCAATCGGATATCGTCTTCCGTTTTACTCTCCTGCCTTTGGTACAATTCCTCACAAGACCGTGCTGCCATGTACGGTCTGTGGAGTTTCTCACGCCCATGTCACCAGAGAGAGTGCGGGATAAACTGCGAAGAGGCTATTTGTCAATTAATCTAATGCACAGCAGAAAGTATCCAGCTACCTGGGCGGTAGCCACCCATTACTGAAAATCATAAATAATGAATTACTGTTCATGTACTTTATAGAAAGCTGGTTCTGTGCACTTAGTCTGGGCAGGCACTTAAACTCTCAGGTCTTTATGCTCATGTGTTTAGCAAATGTTTGGATAGTGAGGGGGACCAGTGCTTCTCCCATTTTACCTGGGACCTTATTTAAATGCAGGTTATGGAAATTAAGCAGGTCCTTGAAATTCTGTATTTCTCTCAAACTCCCAGGGGACAGACAGCTGGGGGTCTATCTTGAATAGGAGGGTCTAAGCTTCTAGGTTCCTCCCATCTTTAAAATGCCAGCGTTCTGATTGCTAGTTTAATATTCTATGTTTTAACTTCCCTAAGATTCTTTTTCTTTTCTCTTTTATGACTACCATAGAAGTCTCTCCATTCATATTTAAGAATTTATATGAAAGATTGCAATGTAATTATCCCCGTCTTACTTTAAAAACAAAAACAAGAAACAAAACAACTTCTTTCAGACAACATAAAGAAAGTCCTGGGTTACACATGAATCAAAGGACAGTTTATTAAATTTAACCAATTTCCGTTAAGGATCTCCATTCGCTTCAATAAAGCCCTCTCCTGTTTGAAAAATTAAATGCTTTTTGCATAGTACATTTTCAGGAAAATGAATCTCATTTCCCCCCCTACTAGGTAAGATAAGCTTAAGATAAAAATCATATGATAAGACTTAAGATAAAATTTAAGATAAAGTAAGTGAGTGAATAAATGAATGAATGAATGAATAAATAAATAAGTAACTAGAATGTAAGATAATGTTGAGAATACAGACTAATAATGGCAATTTGAAGAAACCAAAGGTCATTTATGGACATTTTCTTGTATTTTTTGTACTTATGGTTAGTGGTGTGGGTGTCCCATGAACTTGAACAGTGGTTATGGCTGCAATGTGAGAATTGAGAAGTTTCAGTAAGAAACTTCCATTTCTCCACTCAATAAGAATTGGGATTTTTCCTCCTACTTTGTCATCACCATTTCCTGAAACAGACTGACCCTCTATCAAATGTTCCTGGCACTATACCGAGTTTGTAGCTCCAAACGTCAACATTAAGATAATTTACCTACAAATAGGGACTCCTCATAAGATTTTCTTCCCCTCTCTTTTTCCCCCTTCTTTGAATTATGTAAATTCTCATCTTAGTGAGACAGCTTCATCTTTTGGAATTATAGGTAGAACCAGGAGTTTCCTTTTAATAAGGCAAAATCTTTTTTTTTTAATTTTTTTTATGTTTATTCTGAGAGAAAAGTAGAGGGAGAGAAAAAATGGGCTAAGGGCAGAGAGAGGAAGAGAGAGAATCCCAAGCACAGACCTGATGCAGGGGCTCAAACTCACAAACCATGAGGTCATGACCCAAGCCCAAACCAAGAGTCTGACGCTTACCCAACGGAGCCACCCAGGTGCCCCAATAAGGCAAAATCCTAATTATACTCCCCCATCTACAAGAGTTCTGCAATTCTGTCCTAAATGACCCTTGTCTCTCTCCTTCTCACCCTCCTTCCCCATTTTTCTCCAGTATAAAAGAATTCCTCCAACTTGTATACCTAATGCATTCACAAACCCTGAATTACTCTTTTATTTTCTATCTTGGGGATTCTGGCATTATCTAAAAGCAATATGGTCATAACCCATTTTTTTTTAAAGAAAATGTCACTGTATGTTGCTCTTAAACCTGAAAATTTCTTGCATCTAGCAGTTCAGATTTTTTTTAAAGAATCAATATTTTGTGGAAGCAAGTTTGCTTATTAATTTACTAAACCTCAAAGATATTCTTTTTGGTAGGTGACAGGTTTAATAAGCAAGGGAACTTACATATTTGGCAAAGATATTCTTTCTTCTTTTTTAATTTTTTTTAATGTTTATTTTTGAGAGAGAGACAGAGACAGAGACAGAGCATGAACAGGAGAGGGGCAGAGAGAGAGAGGGAGACACAGAATCCGAAGCAGGCTCCAGGATCTGAGCTGTCAGCACAGAGCCCAACGTGGGGCTTGAATTCACGAACCACGAGATCATGACCTGAACCGGAATTGGATACTTAATCAACTGGGCCACTGAGGCACCCCCAAAGATATTCTTGATAGAGTTCCCAAGTAGCATGCTTAGTAAACATCTACCATAAATTCCTTCATGTGGTCCTTCTTTGTCCAGTGTCAGTTCATTTCTCAAAATATATTTTTGGCAGAAAATAGGATTATTTTTTTGCCTCTTGGATTTATTATTATTCAGAAACAATACAGATGTTACACTTGTGTTAGTTGCCATTAGATTCAGATTTCTACCATTGGGAAAAAAGAAATTCTCTTCCTTAGTCACCCATGACTTTTACACTTCCGTACATCAAAAAGTTGGGTCCCTCTTTATTTTTACTGACCTCACAATGCCTGTGGTTTGCTTACACTGTGTTTTCCAAGGATTCCTGAAATCTGAAAGTCATACAGAATACAGTGAAAGTGTCTCGGTTTACAAAGTGCCCCCACAAAACAGCCCTCCAACTTGAACATCATAATAGAAAACCCAGCTTCCCTGAGACCCAGGTGGCTTTGTAGGTGCATGAGGAGCATGCCTGCTTGGCTTCGTGATTACAGATGGCTGACTTTGTTTACCAGGGTTTTCTTTTTGTTCCTTCTGCATGATTTGGGAGACTATTGGTGGGTGGACTGTTCAACATTGCTCTGCGGTGGTTATCGGTTTTATCATATTAACGTAACCGTTTTCAGCTCTTGAATGAAAATGACAAAAGGCAACCAAGGTTACCACAGTTTTCCTTCCAGAACATTCTGGAATAACTCTGTAACCTTAATAGCGCACTCATTTTTCCTCTCCAAATACTAATCAGTCTACAGAACCCTTTCTCAAGTTGCTGGTCATAGCTGTTTTTCACAAGGGAGAGCATCAGATGTACTAAACTCTTTTCCCAAAGTAAATGAGTAAACGATGTTTTGTTTTTGACTCAAAGTTTATAAGTGAGGGGAGAAAACCACTCCAGTGACACTTAGCAAGAGGTCCAGCTTATTCCTATTGTGTGTAATACAAAAGAGTCTGTCACTGTCACAAGTGGTAGTGGTACATGGGGACTTGGGGGGAATGATGGTCACCCAAAGTATCTCCTGACTGTGATACCAAATGAAATACACTCCTACAACATCTGTTTTCATATTTTATTTCATGATCATGGAAATAGCACAGGTCAACTAAGAATACTGAGGGATGTGGGAGCAGAAGATTTAGTTTGTGCTGGCAGAAAAATATGTATATATTTCCAAAAGGCAGGAAGCTTGGTGTTGGTCCCTTTTCTTTTCATTTAAATATTAAAAAGGCAGAAAATAATTTAATTTTCTCCCTTCAGTTTGTTTATCAAGCCTGGATCACGGACCCTAAAACAGCACTCCGACAGAGGCGCAAAGAGAAAAAAAGGTCTGCAAGAGAAGAACAGAAAAGAAGGAGAAAAGGATCTGGGGATGGTGAGTGTTGAGTGAGCGCAGGGCCCAGCCAGCACTCTCTGTCCCTGTGGCCCTGGGATCCCAAAGGGAACCACAAAGGACAGAAGCTTTGGAGGAATGACATTCTTACATTCTGAGGAATGCACAGAGTTCTACTTGTCCTTCGTTGCTTGTGTCTGACCCTTGGAATAAATAAAAATGTAAATTTAAGTTAAGGTACATTTTATAAAATAAGAGAGAGGAACAAATTAAACTCAAAGTAGAAAGAAGAATTAATGTTTTAAACAGATGTTAAATTATAGAAAAGAAATACAAGACAAGATCTATCATTAAGTGAAAAGCTTTTCTTAGAAAAAACTAGTAAAATGGGTAAACCTTTGGAAGTTTGATTAAGAAGAAAAGGAAAAACACAGTATCAGGAACCAAAAATGGAACGTAACTACCAATGCCATATTCCACATCACATTTGAAAACATAGAATAGGAAAACATTTCTAAAGAGGGGAAAAACTCCAAGCTACAGCTAAGCACCAAAAGTGGAGTGAAAGTTCAAGTGGGGCACTCAGAAAAAATATTTGCATTATATATATCAGACTAAGAAATAGTATTCTGGATATATTAAGGACTTCTAAGAAGCAGTAAAAGAAAAGTTCAACCCAATAGACGAATAGATGTGAAAAACAATTCACAGATCAGGAAATGGAAATAGACAGAGGAGCTCAGCTTCACTACTAATAGGAGAACCACAACCCATATTTTGACATACTGTTGTTTTGTTGTTGTTGTTTTTGTTGCCTTACCTATTGGATTGGGAAAAACCCAAACATTCGTTAATTTGTTAACATCACCATTTGGAGTTAGTGGGAAGAGAAGTGTTTGTATGAGTTACAACCCATATAACATGACGAGCGGTGTCATAGAGTAGCGCATCCCCTTTGAACAGCAATGTGTTGATATCTGTAAAAATGTTAAATGTCCATCTCCCACTACAGATCGATCCCTCTTCTAGATGTGTGGTTCAACTTGAAGCAATATCTGCACATGTGCACAAGGACCCATGTCTAAGAATACCTATCAAACATCATTTGTTTTGTTAATAACAAAAACTTGGAAGCATTCTCAATGCCTACATAAAGAAGAGTCAAGTAAATTATGTTACTATATATTATAAAATTCTATTCGGTAGTTAAAAAAGTGAGATGGATTATAGCTGATCCTAGAACAATGTGGGGGTTGGGGCACTGACCCTCACACAGTCAAAAATTTTGTATAACTTTTAACTTCCCCAAAACTTAACTAATAGTCTACTGTTGACCAGAAGGCTTACTGCTAGCATAAACAGTCGATTAACACACATTTTGTATGTTATATATGTTATATACTGTATTCTAACAATAAAGTAAGCTAGAGAAAGGAAAATGTTATCAGGAAATCATAAGGAAGACAAAATATATTTGCAGAACTTTACTGTATTTATTAAAAAAAAAAACCTCCACGTATAAATGGACCTGCACAGTTCAAACCTGTGTTGTTCAAGGGTCAGCTGTACTTTAAACTTGACATACTGTTAAATGAAAAGTACTGTGTTACAAATGGCAGCACATTATGAAACCATTTATGAAACAACAGAAACCAGCGTTCCTCAAGACAGTATTTTGCATTTTTAATGCATGCATATAACGGTGTATAAATGCAAGAGAAAGATCAGGAAGAATACTTATTAGTTACTAACGGTGGTTACTTCTGGGGGAGGAGTGGGGAGACTGAGATTAAGTGGTATGATTATCTGTTATATTTTGATTCATTACAAAGAACATATACATCGATTTTTTGTGTGAAATTAAAAATGTATTCAAAAATCAAAGAAAAGCATAATTACTAATGGAACTCTAACTGCACAATCTGTCTCCTTTTTGACCATTCTGCCCCCTGCTACCTCCTGGTAGCTTTAATTTGATTTTACTTTATTGGTTTGAAAGACAACATGAAGACACAGCCAATGTAACAAGTAAGCAGTCAAGAGCTAGATGCAGAATCTCCCTTGGAAACCCACCCCCACAGGTGCCAAAGCCTCAGAATATGTAGTGTTCATTTCCAGTCCTTACTTATGTGTGTGTGTAAATATGCAGGCACCATTTCCTTTGTTTACTTTCAAAAATGAATCCGTGCTATACAAATCGCTCTGGGGTAATCATTAGCAATGTATCATAAACATTTCTCATATTAAGTATTTATAAAACTATATCCTCCTTTTTTTAATGGCTGCAAAATACTCTACAATATGGATATGCATAATTTATTCAACTATTCCATCACTAATGGACATTAAGTTTGCTTTCAAATTTTTGCCACAATGAATAATGCTATCATAGATATTCTTGCACAGAAATTCATACAGTCATACATACATGTGGGTGTGAATGTGTGTGTGTGTGTATGTGTGTGTGTGTGTGTGTGTGTGTGTGTGTGTGTAGTGTAAAGCCACAAAGAACACAGACTTTCCACAGAAAAGTCATCAAAAGTGGGATTTCTGAGTTAGGGGGTGTGACTTGTTTTTTTACTTTAATCTAGTTTCCCAAAAGGTTTTAGAAATTTATACTCCTACATGTAAGGGATAGGAGTGTCCATTTCCCTGTACCCTTACCCTACAGGATGTTATTACTTTTTTTTTTTTTTTACTGTTGGTCTTTCTTCGGGATGACAAATGACTTTTGTTTTCATTTGAGCTTTCCTAACTAATACGACTGAACATTTTTTATTTTCTATTTTTCATGGCATTTTGCTTCCCAATCTAAGATTTAAACATTTTTATCATTTTTTGTAGTATCATTCTACTGGGTTGTCTGCCCTTATTAATTTAGGGACTATTTATATGTTAGGGATAGTATCCTTTTTTCATGTGTTACAAGTTTGTTTCCCCATCCAATTTTTATCTTTTGATTTCGTTTATGGTATCTATAAACAAGTTTTAATTTTTTGTGATGTCAACGAGGTCTCCATGTCTTTTTGCAGTTTCCAGGTTTCCATGTTGCTTAAGAAAGTCTTTCCCCCACATATAATACAAATGGTCTCCCTTATTTCCTCCCAAGTCTATTTACATGTTGAATTTTTATTCCATGAAGTAGAGATCTACTTTGTTTACTCTTACATAGATAGGCAATTATGCTATAGCCCTGCTGACTACATGATCCTCCCTTTTCCGAGTGAATTTAAATGCCACTTTTGTCAATATTAAGCTCCTAATTATTCTTTGGTATGTTGCTGGACTCTGGACTTTGATCCACTATCCTACTGTCTAGCTCTGGGTCAGTGTCATCTGTTGAGTTCAGTAGCTTATAGAGGTTTTAATATTTAGTGTTGCAAGTTCCCCTCACTACCCCATTTATTTTTCCAAACTTGTATTTGCTCTTTTCAGACATTTGTGCTTACAAAATTCATTGACTGGCTCTAAAAATGTGTCTTTTAGTCATCTTGTAAATATCTCATTGCTCTGTGTCATGGCGACTATTCCATGCGCAGATGTTGACCTTCAGATTGAAAACAGCAATAATTAGAAGATACCGGGACTGAAATAGATGTTTATTTATTTCTTTAATAAATATTTATTTAGCCCCTTCTTCTTTGGTAGAGGGGCTCATCTCTTCCAGATTACTTTCAGACAGAGGAAGCACACCTTCCTAAGTGCCAGGTGTTGCCATAAGTGCTTTCTGTGCAGTAACTCATTTGTCCTTACAACAGTACAAGGCATTTTACTCACCTTGTCCCACAGATGAGGAAATGAGGTACCAGAGAGGGAAGAAACTGGCCTCAGGTCACACAGCCATCCAGATGGGTCTGGAATTCATGCAGGCATCCTGGCTCCAGACCCTCTATCTTGACAAATGGGGAACACAAGTATAGGGGAAAATCCCTTATGGTGTAGAAAGTGCAGAGTTTCACTTTAAAAATTAAGCACAGATAAAATAGTGTGGGACTAGAAGGAAAAAGGAGAACTTACAGCTGGGAGTGTTAAGTAATGCAGTGCTTCATGAAAAACTCTTTTAATAGAGCCTGACATCCTGCCAGAAGAAAGCAAGGCCATGTATGAAAACTAAAGGGCAGGTCAGCTTAGTTGATAAAGACAGGATGTGAAACAGAGTAGTGGAAAACAGCATAGAAAGTAAGTTTGAAAAGATTAATTGAAGTTAGATTGTGAATGGTTTTAGTACCATTAGATAAAATACATGGGGCCCAGTGAAAGTTGGATTTTCTTTTTTACATAAACAACAAATAATTTTTTTAGCTTAAGTATAATGTGGACATATTGTATGAGACCTACACTAAAAAAAAAAAAAATGTTGTTTTTCTTAAATTCAGATTTAACTAGGTGTCGCGTATTTCCATTTGCTAGATCTGACATCCATAGCCTGGAATAAAAGACTATGAAATAAAATGAAACCCTATAATGCCGTTTTATGGGGTGACACACTAAAATATGTAACATTACCCCGAGGTGCTCAAAATTAAAATTTAATGGTATGTCTCAGGAGTCAGCACACTTTTTCTGTAATGAGACAGATAGGAAGTAAATGATTTAAGTTTCGCAGATCCTAAGTCTCCGTGGCAACACATCTCTGCCAGTGTAGGGTAGAGGTAGCCACAGACAATATGTAAACATATGGGTGTGGTTCTGTTCACTAAAATCTGAATCTCCTATCATTTTCACATGCCAAAATATTGTTCTTTTGGGGGTTTTTTTTCAACTATTAAAAATATAAAAACCCGGAATTCATAGGCCATTCAACAGTGGGAAGCTGGCAGGGTTTATCCAGTGGATTATCATTTAGTCATTCTCAGTTACACCTGATTCTTATTCTGGAGTGGAGTAAAGAGAATCTGAGAGCTATGAATTCTTACAGCTTTCCCCCCGAGAACTCTTAAATTAGGCAGAATATTCTAGATTTAATTACAAAATTCCTTTTAGTCCAGGAGGGTAGTGTTGACATTTAATTTACCCTAAAAGGGTGTAACTCATGTTTGTTCAACACACTTCGCAGGTCCTGTGGAGTGGGAAGCCCGAGAGGATGAACCAATCAAAAAGAAATCTGATGGACCAGGTAAAAAAATAAAGACAAATATGAGCTGGGGGAAATTTGAAAATGTTGCTTTCCCAGAAGGTATGTCGTGGAAGGCTGCCTAAAAGCAATTAATCAAATACTGTTTCTGGACAGTGATTAAATAATCAATGTGTCATAAAATCTCATCTCTAGTGAAATTTCAAAGTGACTCCTAAAGGTAGATCTGACCTTTACACTGTTGGCTCAAATGTTGGATTAGAGTCAGTTTGTAAATTTTTTTATCCAAATACCTATGAAAGGGGACTTGGGGGAACACATTATACATGTCCCATAGAAGCCATCAAAACAAAAGCACAAAAGATATTGGCAATTAATTTTAAAGAACATAGAATGTGTTAAGTGAGAGGTAAGTACAGTTGGGGAAGGGAGAGGTACTCTGGAAACTTAGGCCAAAGTCCTCACTTGATGAAGGGAAAACCAAATCCCAGTGAGTTTGCTCAGGACTCTAACAGCTACTACGTGACAGAGTGTGTGACAGAATCCATGTCTTCTAACGTCTAGCTCAGTCATGGTGTCACTTGGGCTTCATGTCAGATGTGACTGGGAGGAAGATTTCTCCATGAAGGAAAAAAAAAAAAAAGGCAAAACAAAAGCCCCCAACTGAAAAAAACTCAAATGCCTCTCCAGTTCCATAAACATGCCATTTCCTCTGTGTCCCCAGGTTCGAACTCTTGTGTGTGTTATTTATCTACAGGCAAGATTTTGAGGCGTTCTGATTCTTTTCACAAATACTGCCAAGGACGCCATTTGCTGACCCAAAATGAGACTTCCCGAAGGCTGTCTAACACTATCTGTGGCACAGTTACTTTACCCTGAACCCCCATTTCCAGATTATTTCACTCATACATATGTGAAGCCAGATAATTCTATTATTGCTGCAAAACTTCATAGAGTAATAGTAGCTAACACTTTAGATCACACATCTTTGCCGGGTGCTTTTCCAAGAGCTTCAAGGCATGTTAACTGTTTACTTCAAAAAAAACCCCTCTCTCCCATTTTAAGAGATAAGAAACTGAGGCAGAGAAAGATTAATTAACTTTGCCAAGTCTTTCCAGAAACCAATATTGCACTGTCTAGTAACTAACTAGAATTTAAATAAAAATTTGTAAAGAAAATAACTAGAGAAAGAGAGGAAGGAAGGAAGGGAGGGGAAAGAAAAAAAAGGAGAAAGAGGAGAGGAAGGAAAAAAAGAAAGAAAAGAGGAGAAAGAATGTAAGAAAGAAAAAAGAAAAAAGAAAGAAAAAAAGAAAAAAGAAAGGGAAGGAAGAAAAGAAAGAAAAAGAGAGAAAAGAGGAGAAAGAAGATAAAGAAAATAGATGGAAATAAAGAAAAGAGAGAAAAGAGAAAAGGTAAGAAAGAAAAGAGAAAGAAAGTAAGAAAGAAAAAAGTAAAAGAAAAGAAGAGAAAGAAAAAAAGAAAAAGAAAAGAGAGAAAGAAAGGAAAGAAGGTGAGAAAGAAAGGAACTTTGCCAAGTCTACAAAAGTACCAAGGGGTAGAGTTGGAACGTGAACACAAAAGATCTAAATCCAAAGTGTGTGCTCCTAACCATTATGCTTTACTGCCCCTATGGCTAAAAAAATAAATAAAACTTAAAAATGCAATCTCACATGTTAGTTTGTGATCACCAAGTTAATAAAGTATGTTATTCGTGTCTCCAACACAGCAATTTTAGTTTTGCCATCAGGACCAGCCTTAGCAAAACTGGAATAATCATATGTATCATCACCACCTCTCAGGCAATAATTGTGAATGTGAGAAAAAAATAAATTGTCAAAAATGTAAGATGCTAAGTTTAGTAATAGATGTAACCTCCAAGTCCCTCAGCCTCTCGGGCTCAGACTCTCTTTTGGTGTCTACACAAAGCGACTACAGATTCCATCCAAAGCACTGTAGGAAATACATATCTTGGTCAAAATTAAACCCAAAACGGGCTGGGGGGGGGGGCGGGTACAATATAGGTGTCCCTGGCTGCCTCTGGCTCAGAACTGCTCTTCAGTGGCATCTGCAGGACCTCACTCTATTCAGCTTCATGTAGCTGCTGGTCCCTTCCTGGGCTTCTTTGCTCAACAGAGGATACTCTCATTTCCTGCCTTCCTCAAGTGTGCCTCTTGAAAGACTGTTAGGTCTGACAACATTTAATGAGGCTTTGGGGGAGAGCAGGGAGGGGAGCAGCAGAGACAGGAAACAACTTTAAAGGGAAAGTCAGTGATCACTACTCCTACCTCAGTGTCTCTGCCCAGCTGGTGCCTCTGGAGCCTGGCTCATTAGATCATTCCCGCTTTCTTCCCCAGGTACCAGCTGGCAAGTCCAAGATCCCTGTTCCTTCAGTAGGTAGAACTGTTCAACTTCTTTGTCTCTGCCTTGCCCGCCTGGACTCTGTCCCGAGGCCACGCCGCTGTTAGCTCAACTTCCTTTTGATGGTTCTCCTTTTCAGAGCAAACCTTTCCCTGAGAAAAATTCTGCCTTCCTCCTAGGCAACCCAATTCACAAACATTTTTTTTTTCCTATTACAAAGTTAAATGCTGAGTCAGACTGTGGGCTTTAGAAAGAGAGAGGATTAGTGGTGAGTCATGAAAGGGTCACATCTGATTGCACTGGCTGGATTCGAGATTAGGTAAACTATACAACCTCCGGGGTCAGATCCCGCCTGCTGTTTTTATATGGCTTGTTAGCTAAGGATGATTTTGATTTTGATTTCATTTTGTGGTTAAAAAAGTCAAAAGATATGAAAATTATGGAATTCAAATTTCATTGTCCGCAAATAGTTTTATTGGAAACCCAGCTGTGCCCATTCATGGACAATGCAAACAGTCTACAGCTGTTTACACAGCACACCAGAAAAGATGAGTTATAATAGAGACAGTATGGCCTGCAATCAGATCCTGTCCAGCAAAAGGATCCTACATAAGTCCATAAAGGCTAATGCCCTTTTCTGCATGCTACGGTCATGATTTTAAACTAGAATTACAGACTATCATCATTAATCATGAATTTTCTGCATGCTCTAGTCATGATTTTAAACGAGAATTACAGACTATCATCATTAATCACGAATTTTCTGCATGCTCTAGTCATGATTTTAAACGAGAATTACAGACTATCATCATTAATCATGAATTTTCTGCATGCTATAGTCATGGTTTTAAATGAGAATTACAAGCTATAATCATGAATCATGAATTCATTTTACTATGGCAGTTGAATCTGGTTGTCTGGTTTTTTTTTTGTTTTTTGTTTTTTGTTTTTTTTTTTTTACTTTTTCTTTTTTGGTGGGGAAAGGTTAAGGGATACAAGTTGTTTTCCTTGGTGGTGGTGGTGGTGGTGTTTTGTGTTTTTACTAATAAACACGAAGACAATTTGTAATTCATTGTGAGGTTCACTAAGTGTTCACTTTATTGCAGCTGATGTGTGAAGTCGCTAATAAAACTAAATTTTTTTAATGCCAAATTAAAAAAGAATTCACATGGGCTCAAAATTTGGCAGCATGGCTTGAAAGGTTCCTCGTGTGCCAGTTGAAAAAACCCACTGGCTTACAGGAACAAATGAGTAGGGCAGGCAGTTAAGTTGCCATCTTCACTCTTTGATTTTGATTCTGCCCTAAAATAAGTCAGGCCACAGCTGTGGGACCGCCTCAAACTTAGCAATGATCAGGGAGCTCCCAAAGAACTCCGTGAGGGAACCAAAGAGACATGCGTGTTGCCCTGAGATAATGTCACACACACAGTCCCAATCTGAACCGAGCTGCAGCTTGCCCAGGCTCCCTATATCACGGTCGCAGAGAAAGAAGAGAACCCAAGTACATCAGGAATCTCACAGCTCCTGCTGGTTTGCACAGGACTGATCCCATGTGCAGAATTCCATAGTTAGCCCATCGCAGTATAATTAAATAGGAATGAGGAAGATGATTCAGGAGTATGGATATACTCCTAGTATGTGTACTGAGCTCTTTCCAAAATAGCTTGAAGGCGATTTAACTGAAATGTAGCTGCAGTGGGAAGTCATCGAAACATCAATTGTTTCCAACGATAATTATTACTTAAGAAAAGAAGAAATGTATAGCGAAAGCATGAAGGGACCCCGTTTCCTGGATAGATACAAACTGTTTCCACCCCTGTGTCAACAAGAGAAATCTCTTGGCATGCGATCTCTACTTCTGTTAGCTGTATCTGGACCTATTCTGACTGATGTTTTGACCAAGGATTAAAAATTCTATCCAAGTTTGGTTTTGATACAGCCATCAAAACCAAGTGCATGTGTAGAAAGACCCACCCATAGCTTCCTATACCGCCCGTCCTCCATGCCCCCCATGATGCTGAGGGCCACACGCCTCACGCCATATTGGGTATGCAGGTCTGAAACCACATCTGCCTTTGGTAAAACATCGCTGTGATACACGATGGCAAAATGGCTGATGGCATTTTGCTCCGTTGAAATCTCGTTGCTTTTCTTCCTCCTAGACAATATCATCAAGAGGATATTTAATATTTTGAAATTCACCTGGGTCCTGTTTCTGGCAACAGTGGATAGTTTCACAACTTGGCTTAACTCCATCTCAAGGGAGCATATTGACATATCTACGGTTCTGAGGATTGAACGATGCATGCTGACCAGAGAAATTAAAAAGGTAACACTGTTGTTATAATTCTTTTTGCTTCTTCTCACACTGTAAACATTTTAAAAGTCAGTGTCTCGAACTTCAAACAAGATAACACAAAATCTACAGTCTTTCAGACAGTCTTAACATAACCCCTTTGTTTTTCTGTATATCTCAATCTGTTCCACGCTCAGAATTAAAATAATCAGACACTACATGCACGTGCATGCATGTACACTCACACACACACACACGCACACGCACACGCACACACACAGCCCTGGGACAGTGGCCAGTTGATTCGTTCTGTTCCCTCCCTTCACCAGTTTGCAGGTGCACAGACGCTGCTGTCTCATGACGGATTATGTTGTTTAGTCTGGGAAATTTGGTCTGAAACTTCTCATAGGGGAAATTAAGATATATGCAGAGCAACAAAATATGGTAACATGTGGTTTATAGATAGTATTTAAAACTGATAGTTTGTTTCTGAAAAAGTTACTGTCACTTAGCAAAATTATCTACATATGAGAAGGGATTTGTTTTTTTTTAAGTTTCTATTTTTATTGAGATAAAATTGACATACAACATTATATTAGCTCCAGGTGTGCAACATAATGATTCGATATTTGTATATCGACATGATCACAGTTAGTCCGCTTAACGTCTATCACCACACATAGTTCCATTTTTTTTTTTTTTTTTTTTTTTTTTTTTTTTTTTTTGCGATGGGAACTATTAAGTTCTAGATTTTTAGAAACTTTCAAGTATGCAGGACAGTCACCATGCTCTACACGACATCCCCGGGACTGATGTATTTTACAACTGGAAGTTTGTGCCTTTGACCCCCTTCACCCATAACCGAGAGGGGATTTCTTGTTAGCCTTGCCCAGCGAGACCGGGGGCCAATAATTCAATGAGTCAACATCAATCCCCACCTTGAGCAGCTTTGTTTTAATCCTTGCTTAAGGAGCGCGTGATGGCTGAGAGTTGTCGGTATGGAGAAACGCGCAGGCAGGTAAGCACTGTGGCAATGTCTTCCCCTCCGCAGGGCAACGTTCCCACCCGGGAGAGCATCCACATGTACTACCAGAACCACATCATGAACCTTTCCAGAGAGTCGGGACTGGACACCATTGATGACCGTCCCGGTGCGGCTTCAGGTGCACAGACAGCCCACAGGATGGATAGCTTAGATTCACATGACAGTATCTCCAGGTATTTCACGTTCTAAACAATGGGTTTGCTTTTGACAAAGGTAAAAGAGGTGGGCTTCGCCAATATGAGGAATGAATGTGTGAAATGAAAGTTAGTCAAAAACTTACATGGATCCCCACCCCCTTTGGGCTACCTCCCTGCATGCAACAAAGCAAAAGGAATACTGTCCTCCCCTTGACTGAGCCAGACAAAATCAGGTATCCATAATAGACTATTAGAAGTATTGGTATGACGCAGAGGCACAGGCTAGAGCTTTCTAAGCTGGAGGCAAGTAAGAACGAGCCTTCCTGATCACAAAACACTGTGTCAAGGGCTGCGTCTTTAATTCCTTTGAAAACTGCTGCCCCCATCGAGTATCTTCTATACTAGAATTGTCATCTGGTGCTCTCTTTAATCTTTTCCTTTCAGAATTGTTACTTTGTGATTCATAATAAAAATTAAGAAGGGATTCTGTCAGCTTCCATCTTCCCTGACCTGTGTGATTGTGTGCGTTGTTCTCACAACACGGACCCTGCACCTGCCACACACGGGCCAGCACCATTCACTGTACATGGGTTACCTCTTGGTATCCTTCCAAGACCCTACAAGATGCATACTATTATCATCCCCATTTTACAGAACATGAAGTTCACTTACAGAGAGGTTAAGTAACTTACCCAAAGCCACACAGCTAGGAAGTATTATAGAGCAGAGCCAAGATCCAAAACCACATGGTTCGGCTCAGAGCCCGGTCTCTCAACTTCCATGGTACCCCGCCTCTCGTGGCCTCTTTCTGCACTCCAGGCCAACTTTGAGAACTGACCTTTCTTACTGCCTCTCCCAGTAGACTCCCCATTCTCTGCCTCGCTGTTCTAGACAGCTGCTGCTGATGGCACAGAGCTAGCTTCTGAGTTAGAGCAGAAGTCCCGACATGGCTAGGATGATTAGCTAGGTTGGATGAATTACACCTTGCACATATCTTCATAGGTAAAGAACATTATCACTGAGGACATTTGTCGCTTTCATTAAACATGTTTAATGTTTAATTAAACATGGGCACCTGTTCCATGCCAGGCCCCAAGATCAATTCTGACATAGACACATAAAGATAAGTCATCTCTAAGTAGTTTGAGCCTGGGAAGAAAGACCTACCAATAGGATTATCCATAGAATCCTGGGTTGAGGTTCCTGCCGTAAGGGTGGCTGACTTAGAAACTCTTAGAAAACCCTCAGTCCCACTTCATACACTGTGCAAGGCATCAGAGGCCTGCTAGAAAATCTGTCCTCCACAAATACTGGATATGTTAACAGATGAAAGAGAGGAGGGAACTGAGACTATGTTATCGATACCACATCCAAAGTAGGTAACGTCAAGTTGAAATTGCAACTTGAATGGGGAGAGGTGGGTAAAAAAAAAATGTTTTGCCTTGAAGAGCTATGTTTAACTGTTGCTGAATTGCTATATTTGAGCTTCTCCAATCATGCCAGTTCTTCTGTTACCCAATAACTACCTATTGATGCAGATCTATATTTATTAGTATGGAAAGATATTCATTGCATTGAGTAAAAAGTCGGGTTTTAAAATAGAATGTATGCTAAAACTTCATTCTCATTTGTTATGCATATATTGATTTAAATGTGAAATTTGTACAGATAAAATTCTGCTTGGATATATCCCTTCCTGTCCCCCAAATAGGTATTGATTCTTTTAAAGTCCTTTGAGGGATAACAAAAGGCATTCTATTTTTCCTTTAATTTGGGGATAATCTTTGCTCATTTGTCAGTTCCAAAGAAACATAATATTTTAGCTATTGTAGATTTTTGTGAGAAGAGATAATCAGGATAAAAACTCTTAAGAGTTTCAAGGTCAAAGGGCGCCTGGGTGGTTCAGTCAGTTGAGCATCCGACTTCGACTTCGATTCAGGTCATCTCACACCTTGTGAGTTCCAGCCCTGCGTCAGGCTCTGTGCTAACACCTAGGAGCCTGGAGCTTGCTTTGGATTCTGTGTCCCTCTCTTGCTCTGCCCCTCCCCCACTCATGCTCGGCCTCTCTCTCTCTCTCTCAAAAATAAATAAACATTAATTTTTAATTTAAAAAAAGTTTCAAGGTCAAAGCATTTATTAGCTAATTGAGATCCTGTTCAAGATGCTTTTAATTTCTAGAATAAAATATTTGATTGTTAGAACAGTGGGTATGCTAATAAAATTTTCTCATTCTCTTTCCACCCAGGCATACACACATTTCTCAATCAGTAGTTTTTGAAACCATTAGTAATAGCAAAGTTATAACGAGAAAATTTAGTTTTCATGTCCTTTGATTGGCAAGTGCTGACAGCGCCCCCTTGTGTGTCTTCACTTTCAGGAAAATAGCATTTTTGAAAGGGGAACTTCATTCTCTTTGGACAGACTCCACTGAGACAAAAAATCATTATGGTTTATATTTTATTTTCATTTTCTGCAAATCACAATAACTCGTCTATTTGGAAGCTTCCAACTTTCTTAAATTTGTTCTTGTTGCAACAGTTTTCTACCTACAAATCAGTCATTTAAACAGAATTATTTTCTCTCGATTCATTTTGATGCGAAAACTGAAAATCCATTTCTGTCTACCTTCTACCCAGGCTCTGACATATCCCACGTTACTTCGTGGTAGCTATTCCCATAATAATAAATAAAGCCTGCATGAGCGTGGGTACAAAAGTATTCAATGTGTCAACAGGGAGGCAGGGGGAGGCAAGATTTGTTTGAAGGTAGTGAATATTCAAGATGCTGACAGATGCTACTTTCTAGTGAGAGGGGTCAACGAAGGCCCCCGGGGATCACACAGTTTCCAGATCCACACACTCTGTAACCTATTCATGACCAAACAACTGGTTTAAAAAAAAAAATAAAAGGAGAATGGTAAGATGTATACTTCTCAAGATACATCTCAGTTACTTGGTGAGTTATTGCATACCATGTACAAATGTCCCGCGGCATTCAGCTTCGGACAGCGCTGCTCCGTATTGCACACTGGGTCTGACGCAAACCGTTTTCCCTTATCTGCATTCCGGAATAAAAGGCTTCAGTCAGCTCTGGTTAACTTAACAGAAAGTCATGTTCATATGCAACTGGGAGGATTTCCTCCCACATAGCGAAGAATACACTTAACATCCACCCAGGGTATATAATGTGGTGATTGCATATTTATTTGCATCTGTTCTTAAAAAATAATAATAATAATAATGCCCATTATAAGACTTATTTTTTTCTAATGAACGTTTTCTTAACCTCTTCCCTTGCCTAGTTTCATAATACAGAAGGTGTTGTTGTTGCTGTTGTTACCTGGGTCCCTAAGCTTGGCAAGTAAAAAGGAGAATGGATGGAATAACTTTCCCTCAATAATTTGCAATGACACTGCTAGTAATTGGCAACATTATTTTTCATGAACCGCTTTTCTTTTGAAGTTTCATGAAGCTATGTCCTATCTCCCAAAGGGGAAAACTACCCAGAAATATAATTTTTTTTTCCATAAATTTTCGAGGGTTTTACAGGCCTTCTGGCCTGGCTGGAAAATAACTGCTCAGGAACCAAACCAATCACATAAATCAAAGAGAATTAGAGAGTAGACTGACAACGAGTTGCCCATAAAATAAACATGTGATGCCTATATTAGTAACTTGTAACTGCATAGTAATTGACAACATGCCCAGTTAAGAACTCAACTTAATATTATAAATCACAACATAAGAGGGATTAAAAGAAGGAAGACGAAGATTGATCAAAATGAAATCAAGTAAACTACCTTTAAGTTGGACCCAAGATTACAAGTGTAAAACCTTTCCCGTGATTAAAAACCATGAGGTAGGAATTATTTAAATCCATCGACTGCTTTTTAACAAAGACTGGCAAAATATCCTCCAAACTTAAAACCAGTCAATCAGTCAATAAATTTATTAGTAGAAAACGATACCTTTGAAATTAGTTCCTGGGGTGCCAGGGTGGCTCAGTTGCTTAAGCGACCGACTCTTGATTTCGGTTCAGGTCGTGATGCCAGGATCGTGGGATTGAGCCCCGTGTTGGGCTCCGCACTGAGTGTGCAGCCTGCCTAAGATTCTCTCTCTCTCTCTCTTTCTCGCTGTCCCTCTGTCCCTCTCCCCACTCGCTCTCTCTCTAAAATAAAAACATTAAAAAAAAGAATTACAATTCGTTCCTAATGTATTTTTTACTTTTTATTTCAACCTAAAGAAAGGGGAGGCGCAGTAGAGGTCATTATGTTGTTAATAAATGAGTTAACATACCTGCCCTTTTCTTAGTGGCTGACCTCCCCTTCTGGTTTTTTTTGCTTTAGGAAACTATCCAATCTGCAGACAAAATTTGTCTACACTGAAGTCTGCTGGAAGCCATGCTGATTACTAGAAAGGCAGGAATCTTCCCTAGAAGGGATTCTGAGTGGAAGGTCACTCTGAGACACCTGTGTCATTAGACAGGGTCTAGCATCGTCCCCCAGTGGGGCTGCGCATGGCTCCCCCTCCCCGTGCAGAGGACCCAGCCTGGATGGGGCTGTCGCACCTGCCACACGTGCTCTGGCTTCCACATCACCCGTTTTCACCTTTGGGCATACTGCAGACAGAGTTGGGATAAAAGCCTAACAAATGACTTTCTATTCCCTTGACTTATTGCAAAAGTCACGATTTCCTTCAAATCCGGCTGTAAAACGGCACTTATTTTAATGGTTGTTTCCTGAAATCAGTATCATCTACATTCCTCGAAAATAAATTATTTTAAATAGCTGCAAGAAGCGTTAGATGACATTCTAAAGAGCATTCCTAGATACCAAAGGAGTGGTCGTCACTTGAAATGTGTCACCTAAAAGGCGTGGGCTGATCAGGGAGGTGACAGCAACTGTCCCTTTCACCTTTGTCATCTGGGCCTGTTATCAGAGAGCACCCAATCTTCCCTTTCACTTTTAAAATGCCCTGGATTGGACGACAGATTGGTCTCACTCCAAGTAACCAAACTGGGTGGGATGGTGTGGGGTCTGAGGGTCAGCCAGTGTGACAGCGGACCCAGGAATTAACAAGATGAAGCCGACGTTGGGATTAGAACAGTGGTTCCCACGCAGAAAATCTGAGCAGGGCCACAGGAGAGGGCACACGGTATCTTTTTGCCTGCATGCTAACCCCTAAATGGCGGTAAGGGTGCACCCCTAAAACTAGAAAATTAAATACAGAAGTTCAAAGAGCCATTTCCCTCATCTTATAAATGAGAGAGAACAGGTTATATGTGATCAATTCTATAAACTTAAAGTCAAAAATTTCTACCGAACAACTTTATCAAATAAGCAATAATATCTGTAGTTATTTTCATCATAATGAAACCTCTTCTGATTCTTAGAGAGAGAGAGAGAGAGAGAGAGAGAGAGGGAGACCTCAGAGAGGAGAACGAATTTCTCTAAACCCCCAGAGCCAGTTCCTGTCAGCGTGGGGACTTGAGCCCAGCCCTCACTGCACTTGGCCAGTGCGTTTCTACTCGATCTTGTCCTCCTCTCCTCATTGTATAAAGGATTTGGTGATATCTAGAGGAGTTGGGGCCTTTAAAAAAAAAAAAAAAACAGTCACTATGGCCTTATTAGAGACCATCTGGTTGTTCCCCAACTCTCCTCTGTCACTGCCCTGCATCTTGACCACACGCACAGCATGTTACATGCACTGCAGGGGGGCCCCACCAAGCACTCATGGGCTTGGTGCCACAGCTCTCGGAACCTGAAAAGCCCTTTAACTGGTTCCACGAGTGAGTGACTCAGATATCCCTACGCTCCCTGAGCCCTGGACGTTGTCACTTCCTGAGTGGTTTCCATTGCTGCCTCACAAAGTCTGACTGAGCACATCTGGCTGTGTGGGCTGGGCACACAGTAGGCCTCAGTCACTCACATGATAATGGTGTTCGGCCAGGGGATCAGCCATCCTGTGTCACAAAGTCCTGTCCCGCTGGGTCAGCCAGGTCATTAGTGCTCAGGTTAGAAGATTCTTCATTCCAGTAGTCTCCTGCATAGGTTCTTCGGGTGCCTGTACCCCTTTGGGTTAAACTATATGTCAGCACTGAAATTCTGCCCACGTCATAACTCTGTCTGCTTCTTCCTCAGTCGCTCACGCAGTCCTCAGTCCTGAATCAACCAGCCTTCTCTCCCCCAGTGTTGCTCCGTGGAGTAACAAGAAGTGAGGATTTTAGCCCATGGGTCCTCGCCCTAAATAACATCTGCCAAGACCTAAAACGTGATCCAGAAGAAAAAAATTCATTAGGCAACATGAGAAGTTAACAGACAAAATGACCCTGCCATTGCTAGACTTCCTCTGTTGTTTTTTTTGTACCATTTTCTTTCTTTCTTTTTTTTTCTTTTTTCCGATGTTGGTTTATATCTGGTTGCAGATCAAACCAGCATCTCCTTCACACGCAAGGCATCTAGTTTGGCTTCACTGAATACCACTCAGAAAATGGGGTGGATAATTCAGTTTGTCATGGTCATTTCTGAGCCTCGCTCCCTCTCTCATCTTGGAGACTGTTATGTTTTTTCTAAAAACGAAATGTTCTATATAAATATTACCCAAGCAGGTATTTCTGCTTAAGCCATTTGGTTACCAAATGATTTCAATGAACTCAGGATTGGGAGCTCCAAATAAAACATATCTTCTCTAATTTAAAAACAAAACCAAACTCAGCTACAAAGCCATGAAGTACGAATTCCGCTCTGCGAAAGAAATATTGGGACTTGTAATTCTTCTATTTCCCTGTCCCACCCAGAGAGTGACGTTTCGTGATTTATTGCCAGCCGGGATACTTTTATAAAAACGTAGGACTGCTCTGTTTTCTCGTCCGGCCGAACAGGTCCTTCCCCATCCCTGAGCCCCGCTGTGGTGCTCGTTGTCCGTAGTATTGGTGTCGTGTGTGATTTGCTGCATGACCGTGTGTTGATCAGTGGAGCCGTGTGTAGACTGATGTACCGCTGGTGTTTTAACACTGTGTCTCTGTAACTGTTTGCGCTGCCAGCTGCTACACTGAAGCAACCATGTTGTTCTCAAGGCAGTCTACCCTTGATGATTTAGATGGACCAGAAACTGTTCCTAAAACAAGTGAGCGTGCTCGACCTAGGCTTCGTAAAATGTTCAGCATGGATATGTCCTCCTCATCAGCTGACAGTGGCAGTTTAGCATCAAGGTGCTTAACTCGTGCATGCTTTGTTTTTTTCCCTCACGTTACCACTGTTCCCCTTTCGTGTCATTGCAAACGTAAGCTCTTGTGATGTCCGTCTGGTTTTGGTTTTGGTTTCTTAATTTTCGTTTTAAGAATTTGCATGACTGACCAAAAGCATAACCGCCGCTCATTCTGGAACACGACTGGTCACTCCCAGGACAGCATTCTCTTACACTAACCGCTCTTTGCTTTTTGTCTGTTAGGAGTTTCTTAAAAATCCTTATTACAAACGTTGTCCTCCATTTTGTAAGTATTTTCCACTTCCTAGGCGTAAAGAGATAAGCATGCTCCCTCCTTGATGGAGAGCTCATGGGGGCAGTCCTCACAGAGGAAAATGGGCCAGGAAATAGAGAAGACTTTTTCTCATGATTTCATCAAAAGAGACATGCAATAGAAGAAAAAAAATTAAAATCTGCCACAAGGAGTCGTTTTTAGTGGATAAGACCAAATCTACAGAACTTAGAATATACTTTACCATTGGCTTTTGTAAAGAACATTATCATGCGGTAGAATATAGAGCTTTTGCCGACTGGAACTTCTTACTTTGGGCTTGAGTTTTCTCATTAAGTCCTACCGTAAGACAATACTCATTTAGAAATGAAATGATTTATATACAGTCCCAAAGCTCTTTGTGGAATTGCCTTTTTGAATGGTCCACGGGGGCACAGAAACATCAGCTGCATTGAGCTTCTCGTGACACCAGAAAAATCACCCGAACCAAGACAAATTTCAGTTTTGACCGTGCACGTTGGTAAATCAGAAGGGTGTTAACTTATTCTCTTCCATTGCACTCGGTTGAGTCCTGAAGGTACCAGGACTCGTTGACTCCCTTCAGGGCCAGACCTGATCCAAAACCATAAAGAACGTGCTTGTAATTGGTTAGAGTCCAGCTGGAAGTTAGACTTGATGTGGGGTTGGCTCCACTGTTCTGAAAATTGCCTGGGGTGATCAATTTCATGGCCTTCCTAGGAGGTAAGTCCTAGAAAAATACCCAGTTTGCCTTGGCATTCCAAGAGCTTTCTATGCGATGTCCCGTACTGAAGTCCAAGGTCCTGGGAACATAAACACATGAGTGGGCACCAAGGGTTCACATAAATGTTCTTCGGTCTCAGGATGCCATGAAGGGCTCTGCCAAGGCCTATTCATCTGTCCATCCATCCATCCATCCACTCATTTATTGACATGTCTACTGTCGTCCATGACAAGAAAAGTGGGTACGACCTGTATATTTAAGAATCTCTGTGTTTATGGGCCCAAGCTGCTCACCGTGTGCCATTCAGATAACAGTACAATTTCAGAGTCTAACATAGTATGGTCCTCTATCTACCAGATTCCACATCTCCAAAACATTTTTGCCTTTCTGCCCTTCAGGGGCTGGGGTAGACAATAAAAACAGGCAGGCCATGAATTTCACTGTTACGGCTGCTGTATTTTCATTTCCAAAGTCGCCTACACAGACATGGCAGGGAAAGTTAGGAGATAAAGGACAGAGAAGGAGAGGTACAAGAGAGATGGCCAGGTTGCCAAAACTGGAGGGTGGAGATAAGTAGGGAAGCTTAGGGAGAATGAATACTCCATGGGGAACAAGTAGAAAAGATAAGTTGCAGTCACTGGGGACAGAGATAGCAGGGGTACACCCTGAGGGTGCAGCCTGCAGGATCCATAGCACTGGAGAGGGTCCATAGCACTGGGGAGGACAAAATGGCAGGCCTTCCCATGTGCAACACAAAGAACCCAGCGGGGAATGTTGGGAGCCAGAGAGATGGTGAAAATTCAGTCATATGTAATAAGCACCAGTAAGAAAGAGGTAAAGGATGGAAAAATAGGGAGGAGGAACAGATATCCAAGAAATAAGGCATTTTTTCCATAAAGCGTGCAGGTTGTTTAATTTAGCCAGTATTTTCTCACTCCTATCCTCCCCTTATGGGTAGGAGTGGGCCCATTACATAGAATTGGGAGTAGAGTACCTCCTGGCCAACACCCACAGACCCAAACGGGCAAAGTTTCGACTCCATAGGCACCATCCTTTAATAGAGTGGTAGGTATGCTATGCTAACCGTCTCCATTTGAAAAGAAACCCTGGAAACCATGGCTGCAAATCTTGATACGATTTAGACAACCTCTGTGCATAGGTGGCTTTAGCAACGTCTGAGCCGTGTCGTGTGACTTGTTCAGGGTCTCAGCCGTGCGCGTGCACTGTGGGCTTTCGCATTTTGAGGCTGCTGTTTGCAGTCTCTGCAGACCAGACATGAATACTCTGAAGGAACAAAGCAGGTGGATGGAATGTCGGGGGCGGGGTGGTGGGGGCAGGGGAGGGAACGGGGTGGTAATTTTCTCGCCCGCCTTGACGTTTGTATTGGGGAGTGTTGGGAAGGTGTCTCGAGAATCGGGAGGATGCTAAGAGCGGGGTGTGTGCCCTCCCTCTCTCCCGACAGTGAGCCCACGCAGTGCACCATGCTGTACTCGCGCCAGGGGACCACGGAAACCATAGCGGAGGTGGAGGCCGAGCAGGATGACGAGGCGGTGGCCAAAGACGCCGATCAGGGAGGGGAGGAGGCCGCGGACTTGGGGCCGGTGGAGGCCTCGGAGGCCTCGGAGGCCGGCCTCACCCCAGATGCCGAGCTGCCGCACTACTCCACCGAGGATGGGGACGTGGAGGCGCCTCCCTCCTACAGCAAGGCGGTCAGCTTCGAGCGCCTGTCCTTCGGCTCGCGGGACGACTCTGCAGGCCAGAGCCACATGGCCGTGAGCCCTGACGAGAGCCGCTCAGACAGGCTCGAGTCCAGCATCTTACCGCCCCTGACTCACGAGCTGACGGCCAGCGAGCTGCTGCTGAACAAGTAAGAGTGCTGGGCGGGTTGGGGGGGGGGGGGGGGGTGTTCCGCAGGTTGTGGGTAGACAAACTCCCGTGGACAACCGTCCACCTGGACATTCAGAGCAAACAGACCCAATGTTCAGTGCTCCCATCGTGAAGCACAGAACTAGCCAAAGCCGTCCGTGATAGACACTTGTGCACACATTTCTTCCTCCAGTAGGCTATTAGGTTGACTCCGCCAGAACTCTGGCCACATGGGAAGGAGGGGAGGGACAAGAGGGATCATGCAAAGCAGAAATCAGTGATTTGGAGAAATGAAGACGAGTTTATTCTCATGTTGTTTATTTGAACAGGATGTTCCATGATGACGAGCTGGAAGAGTCTGAAAAATTCTACGTTGGCCAACCCCGGTTCTTGCTGTTGTTCTATGCCATGTACAACACTCTGGTGGCCCGCTCAGAAATGGTGTGTTATTTTGTGATCATCCTCAACCACATGGTCTCTGCCTCCATGATCACCCTTGTGCTTCCCATTCTGATCTTCCTCTGGGCCATGCTGTCTGTGCCCAGGCCCAGTAGACGATTCTGGATGATGGCCATTGTCTACACAGAGGTAAGCCTCGAGTGGGAATTGCTAATAAATCGCTTCCGGCATTCACTCGAGGCAGGCCAGCCCTGTCTCCCAGACAGTTTCACGCAGGACATTCAAGTAAATGGATGTTCTTAGATAGGCAAATGACTATTAACTAACAGTTATTTAGTGCTGGCGATTGTACATGTCTTTTCACAAGTCACACCACACTAAGACAGGCACCGATATCGTTTGGTTTAACATACAAGGAAACAGCTTTAGCGAGATGAAATAACTGACCCAGGCTGCCCCAACTGGCAAGTGATGGGAGAGGCTTTTGAAATCTGGTCATCTGTCCTATGATATGAACTACTGAAATAATGTGTTATTTATGCAGAAAATAGTGTCTCGTGCCAGTGGATGTCCAGTGAATGGATGCTGAATTAAACAACACAGTAAACAATTTGAATATAGTTTGATACAACATGCATATTTCCCATTTTTAAGCTTAAAGCCAGTTTCAACACACAAAAACACAAAGTCACATAAGCACCTACCTAAAAATCTGAGTAACACGAGGGTAAATTACCATTTCATTTTCGTCATGTGTGAGGGACAGGAGACACTCTTCCCAATTATACGAACCTGTTTTTCTATCCTTCCCCATCAAATATATGCAATGTCACAAACTCCCATGACAACGATAAAATTGGGAATTAAAAGGGAGGCTCAATAGCCTTTTTTTGCTTGGGTTATTGTAGTTCTTTGTGTTCTGAGGTCTTTGAAGAAGGCGAATTTTCTTACCTGGCTCATAAAGGAAAGTTTTCACTAACATTGGTACTGTAGTTGCTTCTTAAAGGATGGAATTCATGATGAATGTACATTGAGATTCCAGAAATTTTGTAGGTTTATAGGTAATTCACCAGTAAAATAAAGCAAAGCTTTTATCAAAGCATCTCGAAAGTATCAGTGTAAAGTATCATGTATCTTATTTCCATAGTAATTATTTAAATATATTTAAATACTTATAAAAGGTGGAAAGCCAACTACCTAGCTATCACTTTAAGTAGACTGTCTGTCACGATCTTGCCAAAATAATCATTTTTAAGTCTTACTTCCATCACATAAACTTTGTGATCCGGGACATAAATGACCCCCTATTTGGGGAATGGGTCCATTCTCTGTACCACCTCTGTATAGAGGTGAGGGAGTTTCTAACCTAGAAGTGAAGGAAGGGAGTTTCTGATGTAGAAGTGAAGGAAGAAGGAAATTCTCTAAAAATTTAGAGAAGGGAACAAGAGCTACTTACGTTATTTCATCATAAAATGAAATCTTCCTAGTTAAGTTAAATTGGGGTTCCCCATTTTCTCTGTCACACCAAGAAGGGAGGAAGTAGAAGATTAAGGTGATGTTAATTCACTCCACAAGTTAGACTATGCACCAAAACCCAGGAACTATGCCAAGCATAAGAAGAGGACAATAAATTTAATAAAAAACTTTTTTTAAAAAAAGTTGTTTTTGTTTCTCAATGGCTCACAAACCAATATGGTGAACACATAGGATGTAAACAAAGAATTGCCCTACAGTACAACACAAAACCGCATTAGAGAGCATACAAGAAATACGGATATGGTCTGTGCCTCGTGCAGCCTGGGTGGTGTGGAGAGGCCATCGTAGCATCTTCTCAGTAGAAGACAACTTAGAACTGAGTCTTAACGGATGAGTGTAAGGTCATCAAAGGACAAAAAGCAAAGGGTCAAACAAAGGTATAGACACTCTGACGTGTGCCCAGAATGACACATGGCTTGTGATGGCTGGGAGGCAGGCCGTGAGTGGACAGCACGGTAGCAGGCTCTTGGGAACGTCAACAGGGTGTATGCTCAGGACTTTCTCCCGTTGGTATGAAAGTTTTTGAAAAGACGCTGAGAGGTCATGGGATGTGAACTGACCCAATGGCCACGAGGCTGAAGATGAATGGAGTAAATGAGGAGTTTTAGTAAGTGACCCAAACGGGTTGGGGGTGCGAGTGAGAAGGAAAGAGGCAAAGATAGTCTTCAGGTATCTGCTCTGGCATCCGTTTGTGGCAGTGCTGCTCAGCATGGTCAGAAACACAGGACTGTTCTTTGCGGAAGCTTGGCTATAAGAAGGAGAGAGACGGGAGGAGGGCAAAGTGACTCTAGGTCAGAAGAGGACTTCGAAAAATATTTTTTATGGATGAATTGCATGAATTGCAATTAATTCCCGGTGACCCAGCTGTCAGAGGGATGTTTAGATGAGGCCTGTCAATTTTCTCATGTGTCTTTGTCACAGACCGCTTCCCCCCAACATTTGTACCCTTAACGAGTCACCACAACCGGCAAGTTTTTATTTCTTTTTATTTCTTCTTGAGGAGAACTTCCAGGGAGCAACGAAATGGTGAGAACAGGGGCACCTGGGTGGCTCAGTCGGTTAAGTATCTGACTTCGGCACAGGTCATGAGCTCGCGGTTTGTGGGTTCGAGCCCTGCATCGGACTCTGCTGACAGTGCAGAGCCTGGAGCCTGCTTCAGAATCTGCGTCTCCCTCGGTCTCTGCCCCTCCCCCACTCACGCTCTACCCCCTCTGCTTCTCAAAAATAAAATAAAACATTAAAAAAAATTTGTTTTAATGGTGAGAACAAAGAGGTCAAAGGAAAATGAAAATAGGCATCAAAACTGCCTGAGATGCTCAGGAAGATTACAAATGAAAGCAATATGTAAAATATAGAATTCTTTTTGTTCAAGTTTGTCCTCGTTACCATATCTTAAAATTTAGTATTAAACAGCAATGAAGCAGAAATGTAAGTCCTGAAAAATAGAAAAAATCATAAGTAGGTGCCGTGAGTAACCTGGCCGGCTCTGATGTATCTGCAGTCCTGCCCTGGCAGCGGTAAGATATTGCTCTTGGTCTAAAGTCCATGTACGAATGATAATGTTATTTTTCCACATCATTGTGTGTGATCTTATCACCAAAACTGTGAAATGATCTTTTTCTTAGCTTTTATATCACTATTTTTCATATAGAACCATTCTTAAAAGGAGTGATTTTTTTTTTTTTTTATTTCCATCATCTGCATGTAGGTGGCAATTGTGGTCAAGTATTTCTTCCAATTTGGCTTCTTTCCCTGGAACAAGAACGTGGAATTGAACAAAGATAAACCTTTCCACCCACCGAATATCATAGGAGTGGAGAAGAAAGAAGGCTACGTCCTTTATGATCTCATTCAGCTCTTGGCTCTTTTCTTCCATCGGTCCATTTTGAAGGTACTGCACGTTAACACTTAACCGGGTCACGTTGATCATTGCAGCCCCGGGTGATACTCCTGGAGAACCTGAACATTACGATTGGCGATGAGGCCAAGGCATATGGGGTTCAATAAGGGAAACTGTAACAAACCTGGAAGAGAATTCCCCCATATTTCTACTTCTATTATGAACATATCATAATTAATCCATATTTGTGGGAATTATGTTAGAGAAAATGCATAACCTTGCAAAGGTATGTTATCCAAGGAAACCACTTAGCCAAAACTGAGTTTGCCTGAATTTTCTAGTTCTTCTGATAAATTACCTGAATTCATGCAGTTTACTAATTCTTGTTAGGAATATATTAACAAATGTGTTAACATTATGTTTTCAGTTCTAGAAATTGAAGTTTAAATTTCTGCGTTTAAGACATGGTGGTATTATGTTGTATGTCCACTACACCTCCGTTTAAAAAAAAAGACATGATTGTATAAATTTGGTCACTTCACAACTCTCTTGCAACTTGTATCCTTTTTCACATCATTTAAAAAATGTATATATAAACCTTTAGGCATTTTGCTGCCTTCTCATTAATATTTCAGTGGTTTAGCAGCTACAGTTGAATATTTAAAGCATAGAGTAAACAAAATTTTGGCGTTTCCTATTGATATACTTACTCTGGTTTCTTAGAAAATTTCATATCTATGGTGAATGTATTTGAGGTACTCTTATGCTGAAATTTTGGCTAATGATACGAAAAATCATTTTTAGAATAACAAATCTTTTCATAAGGAGACAAAACTACCCTACAGCTTTGGAAATCTAGGAAACCAAACAGTTCAAACTACGTGGAAATTTCAAATGTGGTTAAAACTATCCTATTTGGTATGAATTGCTATAGATCTTATAAATAATTGGAAGAATTCACTAACAAATACACTACTATGAAAGTAGTAAAAGAATCTAAACATGTTCCAATGTTGGCCAAAGAGAAAACAACTTTTAAAACGATTTAAAAGAAAAAAAATGATTTAAAAGAAATCAATATAAGTTGGAAAATCCCATTAGGAAAATCTAGAATGTTTGTTATGTTTTCAAGAATGCATCCACTGACTTTTCTTTTTGAAATAATATACCCATTAATATTTAAGAATAGGGACGCCTGGGTGGCTCAGTCAGTTAAGTGTCAGACTCTTGATTTTGGTACAGATCATGATCTCATGGTTT